GGAACAATCATTTTGTGCTATCTTTCACCTACCAGTTATAATCACTGTCACAGCATTTTCTCTCTCTTCCTACACACAGATCAGTGAATGATGACATGTTCACAAGCCCACACACTCACCATTGTTTAAAAGCGATAAAGTCATAAATGTTCTGCAGAGTGGGAGCACTACAAATGGGTCCGCTGCTACTGAAGGTTACATGTATACATTCAAAAGAGAGTGGAGGTATTCATCATGCTGCTGCTATAGTGTTATTAAATTGAAGAGTTTTGATGATAAATGACTCTCTAAGCTCTCAACCTTGACATCAAAGGCCTGCACTACGAAGCTGGTTCAACCTAACCTGGATATGTTTGAGTTAGCCGGTTGGCCTAATCCAAAACATACGCGCTCTCGCTAAACGGTCCTACGACGCGGGTTATCAAGTGGATCGCTCAAGCCAGCCGTGTCCTATCTAGTTAGGTGCGCGTTCACATGAAAGGGGTGGTATTTGGAGCATTTGACCAATCACAAACATGGACAAGCGTACTGACAGCGCAGCGTCACACTTCCTGAATGAAAAGTCAACTACATAATTAGACAAATATGAAGACGTTAAACTTTAAACATCCATGACTTAAACACTTTATTTATTTACCAGCTGTATTCACCTTGCAGGTGCAACTATGTCCTGGATAAAGTGTTTAAGTCATGGATGTTTAAAGTTTAACGTCTTCATATTTGTCTAATTATATAGGCTAGTTGACTTTTCATTCAGGAAGTGTGACGCTGCGCTGTCAGTACGCTTGTCCATGTTTGTGATTGGTCGAATGCTCCAAATACCACCCGTTTCATGTGAACGTGCACCTAACTCGATAGAACATGGCTGGCTTGAGCGATCCACTTGATAATCAGCGTCGTAGGACCGTTTAGCGAGAGCGCGTATATGTTTTGGATTAGGCCAACCGGCTAACTCAAACATATCCAGGTTAGGTTGAACCAGCTTCGTAGTACAGGCCTCTGGACTCAAAAACATTTGTGTAAACACAAAACCTGCTTAATGCTATTTACACATTATTCTGCTCAATGCTATTTACACATTATTCTGCTCTGCAGAGCATAAACCCAAACCAGCAGGACAGGTGTTCAGACAGCCAATCAAACGCAATAAATCATATTTTACAGGCGAGGAAAAGCTGTTGGATCGACTTGCAGGTGTTTACTCTGCAGCCTGCACTTTATTGCCTCTGATTAGGAGACATTGAACAATAAAATAAAAATAGATTTGTATTGTTTGCAAAGGCACAGATGTTCATAAATTACTCATGTGTTTCTAATTGTTTTGTTTTCCCAATATCAAATCCAAGATATGCTGAACACAAAAAGTATTTATTACACTTTTACTGCTACAACTTACTATTGCAGCATTGATGGTGATGTTTCATATGTCTAGTTGTGCAGAATGTCTTTAAATAACTGTGCTGTTTTCTCGAGATTTCATAGCGGCATTTTGCCTTGACCCTCTGTACATGTGTCCGTTCCTCCATCCGTCAAGCTCTGCAAAGTCATTTGAGTGTGCCACTTCTCCCTGCGAAGCAGGCCCGGTTCCAGAACAAAATGACTCAGGGTGTATCTGAGATTAGAGAGGGTGCAGTGGTAAAGTGCTATTTTTACAAGGGGGGTCCTCACCTCCTCTAGGGGGGTCCGGGGGCATGCTCCCCCGGGAAGATTTTTTTTTAAAATATTGAAGTTAAAAGCATCAATCTGGTGCACTTTGAGGGCAAAATGAAGAGATCTATGGATACATCTCAACACCCATATGAAACAGAACTGTAAACAGATATACTTTTTCTTTATGGATATTTTACAAATCACTCCCCTTTTAAGACCGAAATGTCTGCATAGAAGAAGATGGCATCTTTTTCACATGAATATTCCAGCCAATCTCTGTTTTGAAACCATGAGCTGCAAAATGAGCGCCTTACCCCACTGTACAGGCGAGTTGGGTACTTTTTAAATATACCTGGGCAGGCTCTGTTTTGCCGAGGTCCTCTGGCACTTGCAGGCCGCCGAGGGGTGGCGGTGTTTGGGGCAACGAAGACGGCTGTGGCTGCTCCGCCTCCGTGGGTGAGGCGGGCAAAGCCAGCGAGTCGAGCGTTAGTGTCCACGACAGTGGCCGCGGGTAACGTAATGTCCCCATGATCTGAACTGTTATTACCTGCAGTAGATGCAATGTCACTGTTGGCGATAAGGGATGGTTGTTTTAACCATTTGCTGATGTCCATCATTGACTGCTGTGTAAGCAACTTGCAGATGACGAACGCGCAGCGGCACAGGTCACGCGCACCTGACATAATAACGTTACTTACCATTTAAATTGACCAAATAAATGCAGCAGACTGAGGGTGCAATGCACCCTTATGCACCCCCGTAGAACCGGGCCTGCTGCGAAGCTTTACTCAGGTCAACTCATCTGTCACTCATGCTTCACATCTTAATCTCACCCCTCTTTCACCCAGCTATGGTAACACCATGCCTGCTGTACTGTTATCTTCACCAGCTGCTGTGGAAAATGCATTATGCACAAAATATTAGAATTTGGATGCATTGCTTGAAATGGCTCACTTATGAAAACAGATTTTCAAATGTTCCCACTTTTAACAAGCTGAACAAGGCTTGTCTTAAGCTGTCAGCTCAAATGCTTATAAGTCATCTTGAAAGGACCACACAGGAGCTGGTTTAGACTCAAATCCAATGAATTGATGAAACATATGCTGACAGCCTGAGACAGGGATACGTTTTTTGAAAGTGTAACAATTTAACAAGACTTGACACAAGTCTACAGACAGCGGCTTTGTGAGGCTTCACTCAGGCACAGCAGTGCTTAGAGCTAAAGGCTAAATGCTGTTATCATTTTTACCAGGTTCACCATCTTAATCTAGTAAGTTTACATGAAGTACAGCTGTGTCCAATGAGAATGTCAATACTTTTGCATGTATTTGATCAAAAACAAAAACCTGAAAGTATCGGGGAACTTCGATTAGACATGTGGGTGGCGCTAGATGTAAAATCAGGATATCACAAATCAAATTTATATTGAAGTCTGAAGGAAAGGTGAACATCTACAAAATGGACATTTCCCGATTGTTGTACACAACGGGAATCAACAGAGTCAGTGGGGTTCAACCTCTGGAGATCATGAAGGTCTGTGAAAAATGTCATTGCAGTTCATAATAGATGCTGAGTAGGAGTTGTTTTGAACCAAAGTGCTGGATAGATCAAAAGACCAACAGACTGACTCCAGAGCCAAGCTGCCACTTTGGCTAAACATTGACTGGGTCTCCTCAGGTGGAGTCAGTGAGACACATTTTAATCAACATTATTAAATGTTATGTTTGTGAAAACACGTATTTTCCATTCCTATAAAAGATCCAATCCAATTCAGGTTGTAGGCCTTCAGTACTGTTTGAAACAGTTTCTTACACTCAGCTAGCTGATGATGATTTGTGGACGTCGTTAATGTGACTCTTTTGTCCCCTGCTGGTCATCATTGGCTCCTATTCCTGTTTTACACCTTAGCTCTGTTGGATTTATGGCCACGCTCTCCGCGAGCCCACTGATTGCCTTCCTAACCCGCACTGCAAATCTCAGCGGATCAGTCAGTGGGAGGTGCTGTTAGGTACCGATATCTAATGTCTACAGGCTGTATGAGACTGAGAGTGGTTAACAAAACTGATTTATGAAGCCTTGATTTGAGTTACATCTCTGGAAAAATGCTCAATATGTGAAAAGCGCCGCTTGAGGAACAGACCCACAGGTTAACCTTCGCCCTGCAGAAAGCCCCCGACTGTGGCAGCAATGTGCAACTGAGCTTTAGGTTCCATTTTGTACATTTTGTGTTAAACCAAAGCATTTTTCTTTTTGTAGGAAGAAGATACCAGCAGCTTCATCCTATTCGCCCAGCATCTGTTACTGTGCAAACACATGTATGTGATATAACATAACACATGTTTGTGTATTTAATTATTCAAGGTACACTGCTGATTGTTTCACCATTGAGTTACTGGGATTTTCTTTAGGTTGAAGTGGCACTTTTATGTGTTCCTGTTCTTGTCACAAAAAGAACAGATAAAAACCAGTGGCCCTTTGTCTACAAAACAAGTACTTTTACAAATGATACTTGGAATACATTTTGGTGAAAACACGTTTTCTTCTGTGTGCAGGATGAATGTATTTAGGAGGTATACTTGCAATGATGAATTTTTACACCTTATTTTTCTCTAAAGAAAGTTTACTTATTTATTTCCCCACCTTTTAAGTTGTGTTTTGCCTCATTTTCATTATTTTTGGTCAAAGAATTATCATGTTTGCTTAGATTGTGCCTACACCTAAACTTTTTCAGCATCCTCTTCAATATTTTCCAGTGCCACACCACGACATCTACCTTCCTTAATATGGGACAGTTGCACAACAAGAAAGAAACGCAATCAATCTTTATCTGAAAATGTTTTTCTGTGGGACCCAACAGTGGTAGGCTTGTGAAATCAAAGATTTTTTAGGTCAGTTTGTGACGTCTGTTGGTTTGAGACGTGAAAGCAAATATCTGGGTGTAGTCATCCAACAGAAATACCGAACAGAGGAAATAATTTAAGTATTAAGCATTTTTCATCAGCTTAAAGTAAACCATTTAGTTTTTTCCTCTTTAAATGTCATGACATGAGCGGAAAAACAGTCTGAAGTGAGAGCTGAGCATAAAGAAGAGGGAAAATCCTACATTACTCAAATAGTGGGTTTCTTCCTTTTTTCAACAACATGTCATATGAACTCTCTCTGGCAAGAAGATTTGTGGTTTGTGATAATAGCGAGGGGGAATAAAGAAAACAACCCCTGCTCTTTGCTGCACTCTTCTTTGTTCTGTAAGCAGATTTTGTGAAACTTCATGAAGAAGATACCATCCAGGCCCTGCGGCTGTTTGTCTGTTGTTAATATCATTAGTTAGTAACACAAAGGAAGAAACCAGATTTGCTTTAAAAGATACAATCCATGATTTATTACAGAAAAGAGTGATATCCAAATTATTTTATGTTACATTATTTTTATACATTTCAATATGGTTTTTACATGTAAACAGGAACGAAGTAAACAATGTTATTGATACACTTCATGTCACGACTGGTACCACCTTATAGTACAGTTTAATCCACGCTCTGACTTCACTGTGCTTCCACGTCAAGTACATCACTTGCTCAAGCTCAATCCTATTAGGAGGCATACAGGAAGCATAATCCCCCTAGACTGCTATATTTTCAGAGATGTGCAAGGTCATGCCATTATTACTCATTATGCAATACCCTTATTGTGCTATCGCCAACAGTGGAAGGCATGAAGGCAGCCTTTTCACCACTGTGCAGCATGTGTTATTGAGAAAGTGAACATATGCCTTTAGACAGGAGAAGATAAGAAAGGATAAGTGGCTGGGTAAGTCAAACATCCAAGGTGTTTTACATTTATAATATTTATCTCTATCCCATTAGCTCAAACACAGCTGCTAGAAAGTAAACATTTTCTACAATTCTCATTCCCAGTGGACAAATCTTAGGATTCAAAAGTGTTGTTTCCAGACCAAAATATATAAATCAGACTGAAACTTTTATTTAGAAAATACTCTTACTCTTCTGCTTCATCAAGAAACTAGACATCATGTCCAGACCTCCAAAAGGGATTAAATGAAAAAGGGGGGGGGGTGATATGTTTAAGACGCTGTTAATAACTTAACAGGTGTTAGGTCATGCAGACTCTACTGTACAAATGTACCAGGCCATAAGCATCTGTTCAAACTCAAGGATACCAACATGCACAGATCTTTAATGTTCACATAGCAGGGAAGAAAACCTGGACTAGTTTTTCTAAATACTGGAACGAGGATTACAAAATCTCTCTAGTGAATGACATGATTGTGATCAATGGATTGAACACTATGACCTGAAAGCATCATTACTTCTTAACCAACAACCTGCAGTTTGTCTCTATTTTACCTGCGATTCTGCTCTGATATACTTTTCGTGAAAATCAAGTCAAATCAAACATGCAGTATCTGTGAGTTTGCATTATAGTCATGCACATGGACTACAGTGCAGAAAGTATATTTCCTAAAAAGCAGGACACCTTTGATTACATCTTAGAAAATATAAAACATTCAGAGGACACCTGAGAAATGTGGACGATACTTTGTTTATCTGGGGGTGAATACGGATGAACTCATACTGATAGATCATAAAAGAAAGTATAAAAATATTACATACATCATAAAATGCTAAATAAATAAATACAATTAAATAATGTAAAATGATAAGTACGTTTGTCAGTGTTCAATCTAGTGCAATGTGGTCGGGGTAGTGATATCTTTCAGTAGTTAGTTTGGTGTAACTTTCCCGTCTACTTAATATTATTTACTGTCATTTGATCAACATGACCTGTACTGAAGCTCTCGCGCCGAACCCTCTCATCAATACTACTCACTCTTCAACTATGTGTCTCACCATGAATGAAACAGGAAATTATTTTGACTCACAGATGGACGTGTCGCTCATGCTGCCCATTTTCCTGAGTTCCCAAAAACATGCTTCTCCCTAACATCAAAGGTGACCACAACAAAGGTCACAGCTTAAAACAAAACCTAATTTCTCAGTTTATCATCAGTAAAAGTCAGGAAGCAGCTGAAACTGCATCAGTCCGTGTGCTTAGCAAAGGACTAGACATGTATTATGTTGGTGTTCTTTGTGAGTGAGTAACAGTGGATGGATGCTCTTTGCAAGCTGAACATCCAAGCCACAGGTATGTCTAAGTGATCCAAGTTTCAACCACGCTCCGGGGCTTCCAACAACAAATGAAAAACAGGCTGCGAGTGCAGAACGGAAGAGCAGATTTGTGGCTCCTGCATGCGAGTGTGTACATTGTTCATGATGAGAGTCACGTTACAACGTATGCCGTGTTTCAGAGCCATTATCTGAGACCCGAGTAGGTACTGTGACTCACATCCAAAACAAATCCTAACAGGAGAGTTCAGAGAGATTCACAGAAGATCACAAGACAGAACGACGAGAGAATATTTCTTGCACTTGAAAAAAGCACGTGCAGCACAAACAGGCACACGTGATGTTGGTGACACAATTGTGGTGCGCACAACTGTAGGCACAATCAAATCGCACTAAAGTTCACATTTCTTCACCTCAAGACAGTCAAGCTCAGCAGTAGCACAAACAGAGTAACACACAGCTCACACCTAGAACAGACACACGTGAACCAGGCTTCATGACAAACACGGTCTATCAAAAGATACAAAACAATATTTCCATGCACTTTATATATTGTCAAAGATAATTCTTTGTCAAAGTACTAAATGGATGTTCACATCCTCCATGATGAATGCTGTTTTTTGTTTTTCTTGCCGCAAATATTAATCAGCATGCTTCAAGGGCAATATACAGTCGCTTTGCAGGAACAGTGTCCGTTGTACTTAGTTAACCACATCACTAGAATCTCTTTTGTAACAAGAAACGCTAAGTGCTAAAGTAGCGCTGTCACATATAACCAGTGACAGGAGGAAAACACGGCCATGCTGCGAGCGGCACCAAACAGAGTCGAAGCGGAGAGCTAGCTGCCACATAGAGAGAGTGCAGGGTGGGTGCCAAAGGTGAACAGTGGTGATCTGCAGCCCTTGATCTGCATAGTAAACATTACAATTGCACAGGTTTTTCCAAGTGAAGCCGAGACACAGCACAGACCCCGGGGCAACCTGCTGGGGGAAGCCGGGCGAGGGGTCGGGGGCAGGAGGGGGGGGGGGTCAGAGCTAGAAACCAGGAGCAGCGCCAACACTGGACGTGGAACAGATGGCGAGGGAGCGGTCAGTTTCAGGAACCTGAAACTGGGTTCGGGGTGTCTTTGGTGTACAGAATCAGCCAAGTGGAGCTCCACTCTCAAAGCTAAAACACATAAGTAAGCAGGCAGGGGGAGGTTGTGCCTGTGAGTTGGGAGCTGTTTCAGTGGAGGGGTTAAAGCTAAGGCCACTCATGGTGATAACGCCGTCCTTTCTTCTTCCGCTCCTTCTGCAGGTGAGTCAGCTCTGATTCGTACATCGTCTCCTGCATCAGGTACTTCTCCCTCCTCATACGATCGCAGAGACCCTTGGGCATGTCTGGGATGAGGTACGCTATGAAGGACTTGATGCCATACACCAGGTGCTGAGGGAGGCATTAATCAGTTATGAGTTACCGTCCACAGATCTGACAAGCTTTAGTTGCCAGTATGTGTTGCACAGTTCGATAAGCATGAAAAGGATAACACTGTGGGCACCAAAAGAAAGACTTTTATGTTCCCTGTAATGTTTTATAGGTGTATGTGTTGCCAGTTTTCTTGACTATATAAATCATTGCACAAGGCAGTGTTGTTAGAGGAAAATCTTGACAACTATTCAAGGAAAGAAGAAAGAAACATGGTGCCTATTTTTAGCGGGACCACCATGCCATTTGGGATTTATTTCTGTGGGTTTTCAAGTGAAATTCCTCAAAACAGGATCACAGCTTTTAACTTACTAAAATTGGGCTTGTGAGGTTTGCACTTATCAAAGACCGAACATAAATTCATTAAAATAAAAATATAATCCTACAAAACAGTCACATACTTTTTGGCTGGTTACCACACAAAAAGGAAATGCTGACTGACCTCAAAGACGATGATGAAGGCCAGCCTGGCAGCCAGGACGTGCCAGAACTGCAGCGTGAATTCGTATGGCACTGAGCTCCAGGGCGGCGCCCGGTAGTCTCTGTACCGGCAGTATATGGACAGGTTGCTGTTGTTCGGGTCCCTCATCTCAAACACAGACAGGCTGCTGTTCATGTAGCCTCGCAAACACCTGAGGGAGGAAAGGAGAAGCTATCAGACTGTAACACTCTGCCGGATACACCTCAAGCTTTCACATTATTTGTAGTGCTTACTCGTTCTTGTGGTGGTGTCCTTTGTCCACACACGGGCCATATTTGAAGGCATAAACAAAGCGGGGGATGTAGTCTGAAGTGATGGCGATGACGAAGGCGTTGGTGATGACTGCCAACACGCCGATTCCTTCCAGGATCCCATGCCAGATACCTGACAGCCCAACCAGAGGAGAAAAAAGAGTCAGAAACCTGCATGTCCTCATACACAACACTTTGGAGCTTTAGTTCTACGAGTCTTGCAAAGCCTTTGAAATAGAAAGTGCATAATGCAGAACATATTGATAAACAAATGAAAAGGAAAATACCTAATGTACTTATGCACAGTAATAACAACCTAAATGAGTTTAACAACGCCCTGAAATGCAGACTCAAAATACTTATTTTTTGGCGGCATTACAAAAAGTCTGTGCAGGCTAGAAATCTCTCTGCCCTTTCTGCAATAGATAAGACTCTGTGTGATCTGTAAATGTCAGCTTGAACTTAGAAGCAGCTTTTTTCTCTCTTTGATTCAGTGTGAGTGAAAGATAATGTGTTCATTACAGCTCAAGAATGCTGAATGATACAGCGTGGATTCCTCCTTTAATGACAGGACAACGTGCCACAAAAAGCATTTGGTCATATATTATATGGCAGTTGAGGGCGTTGTTAGTAATCATATGGGGAGATGGGCTGGTGGGAGGCGAGAAGCAGCATATGGTGGGCACAGAAGCAGAGGAAACGGGAACATAGCTAATTCCATATGAAAAAAACCGTGTTGTTCCTGCAGTGTTTTACTGTTAGAAGAAGAGGCTGTGATCTAAAAACACAACAGAGTCACAGAGGAGAGGAAGTGTGGGGGCAGTCAGAGATCACATTGACCTATGTCAGTGGCGCGGGCCGGCATGGGTCTCCTCCACTGAGTGACAAACTTGTAGGCGTCAAGACGAATCTCAATGATGTTGTTGAGCAGAGCCAGGAGAGGGGCCAGAGGGAAGGCTGCTACGAAAATGGTGGTGAAGCCAAACTGGAGAACTGCAGATAAAAGAGGCGTTTGGATGAACTTCAGAGGATGTCCGTCTTAACTTTGGCACACACATCGTACATTCTTTGATTTCTTCCATTCCTTCTTAAGCAAAATACGACATTTAAAGAGGGTTTAATGTTTTACCCATTTCAAGGTATTCATCCACCAGTCCATGGGCGTTCATGGGCTGCAGATTCCAGTCTTTGTCCCACTGAGGAAGCTGGGCTTTGTTCTCTACGTTGGGCCCTCCGCCACCTCCTTTCTTCATCTTCCTTCGAGACCACCAGTTCTGCAGCAAACTGAAAACGTAGCGAGTAGCTAACTGTCAACTCAAAGCAATTATTTCTGACAATTGACTGAGCACTGCAGGAAGCCTTTTCCTATGCCGCACACAAGAGGATTTAATGTGTTTCTGCAGGAGAAAAAGCTTTTCATTTGCTAATGAGCTAAAGGACAAAAAAACTAAACAGAAATGACATACGGTTTGTAAACTGCCAATCACTGGAATATACAGCACTGGTGGCATTTCTAAACGGTTCATAGAAAGAGAAACACATGATTATGAAATAATGTTACTTACGGATAACCGAGCTCCATGAAGTTGTTCCAGATCTGTTTGAAGAACATGATGACTCCCATTTGCAGGCACAGATCAATCAAACAGCCACTGGGGTGACACTGAGAAAAATACAGTTATATTACAAAAGTGCCCGATAATTCAAATCCACGACTGAATCCTGGGACACACTTTATCCCATTCTGTTTTTGATCATTACAATTCAAAACCCCAGTAATTATGTGGGAGATTAATGATTCATATACTATTAGGCTGATCATTGGACAAATTAATTTATTGACAATTATAAATATATTTGATAAAAGAAGGCAATAACTACCCCTAACTAGAATTAGTGATGCCTAATTGCACTCACCTCCTCCAGTCTCCATCGATTAAAGAGTTTATTGTATTTTCCCGGCCGGCCAGCGAACCTGAACAGATTGAGATTGGCATTATTAGCTGTGAAATCCAATCTGAGAAAATGAAGGTACTTAAAAGGTGCAAATTATGTCTGATAAACCACTGATTGGTTATATTTCTAGTCATGGCAGTTTGTGGAAATACTGAAAGATTAGGTCCAAAGAACTATACAGTGAGAAGGGAAAGGGAAGGAGTCTTGGCGGATGACATGACACTTTGAAACAAAACATCTTTTCACAATCGCTCATTCAATTCACTGTAAACAGGAACAGTTCATGGCAGCCAGCCTACCTTCCGAGAAAGAAAGCGATGTAAAATGTGGAGCTGTTCAAATTTACAAACTGGAACAGGAACATCTTCAGAGAAAAGCTGTTCTCCCACTCAGACTCTGTCCGTGGGTGCTCTGAGAAGGGGAGAAAAAGGGGTTGTTGGGAGGGAGAAAATAAATCTTTGTCAACCATGTTAGAGATAACAAAAGGTATTCATGCATGCAGAATGTGGACAACACTCACCTAAATTTGTCAGCAGATAGGCCACCTTTTCATACACCTGACAAGATGATAGTACTCGTAAGCATCAACATGGAAAAGGTTGAGGAGGATTATGAATATGAAAAAGAGAGGCAAACAGGAATCTCAGCAAACACAAAAACAAAGTCTCTCTGGCAGTGAATTTGATATTTCCTTGAACAAAGTTCGGAGTAAATCTTTCATGGCATTTGTTTGACAGGATATGTAAACATGCCAGATGATGCTTGTCCGGACACCCACCACATTGAGAGACATGATGATCATGAAGTTGATGCAGACGCCGGTGCCAGAGGTGGCAAACTGCCAGTTCTTCTTCACAAAATACCAGTTGAAGGAAGCAAACTTCTCCATGGCAATGAGACGGAAAACCACCACCGCGAACACGGCTGTCAGAACGAGGGAAATCTAAAGAGCGGTGACGAAGAAAAGGAGAAATAGAGGAGGGGATGTTATATGCATGTGTGTGATGAATACTTTAGATTAGGTTGTTTGATGTCATCTTATAATGAATTACAGTGCAGAATAAAGAGGAATCCTATTGATTAAGAAACAATTAACTATTCAGGTAAACAAAAAACTCATCATTCAAATGTCATCAGTAAAAAATCCATCAGTAAGACATCCTATTGATCAATTCCCTTTTCCTCCAGCAGGGGGAAATGTTATGCCGCTGCTGGCACATCACAACCCTCCAAAGGTGGCACAGGGAACACAGTGATCTCACTCTGAGCCTGAATCCCAAAAGGGGAGATTATTCAAAGATCAAAGGGTTTACCATGAAGAATATTCCAGACACAGACACCATGAGCCGGCTGAGTTTGTCTGAGAAGGGCTGGAACGGCTCGGGCTTCCCGGAGATGGGGTTGACTCTTTCCACCCTGGAGTACTTGGCTTCAAACTGAGGCCTCAGCTCCTCCTGATTAACAACACACATTACAGTCAGTGCAATTAATTCCACTTCTTCTTTTTTTATAATTGTGTAATCAGTGTCACATTTAAAAGATGTGCTGCATGAATTAAAATTGCGAGGTAATTTATTAGAGGATATGGCTGAATCACCTCTTCCTCCTCCCAGTCGATGAGATCCCAGTCATAAGTTAGTTCTGCCCTCCGTCTTTTCCAGAACTCCAGAAACACAGTGGCTGCAGACGGGATCAGGATACACTCACATTATAGTTTCATATATAACAGACAGGGTGATTAATATGAATGAGACTGCAGTTGGCCGTTCACTGTGGACACAATGCAGAACCAACACCAGATATCCTGAGTGAAACACAGGCTGCAGTGACGTCCATCGGCCATTAAAGAAACTGATTACAGCCATCAGTTCACAGACCGCTTAGCTTCTGTGGGAAGGTTGAGGGAGAGTAGCATACAAGCTTTACTTGTACAATATTTCACTCTAAGTTGTGTCTTTGTCAGGCAGGCGCCTCTTTGAGTTGACTTCAAAAGAGAATCTTTCTGTGGGCAGAATTCACTTGGGAGGCATTGTTCCCTTTGTGTGGAAATCTTTTGAAACTCAAGCTGCTCACAACACCAGAACTGATGTTGGTAATCTTTCTCTGTGAAGATTTCTCATGTATTCTGGTTTATCACAGATATATAACAGAAAGAAAAGCATCTTTCTAGAGGCTGAATGGCACGCACGCTCCAGAATCAATATTAATGTGGTTCAATGGTACCATTAGGGCAAAGGTAGTGACAGGCGGAGCTCGGAGTGGAAATGAATACCGCAATCACATATGAGCTACGTGAGACACTGTAACACTATAGTACTGATTCAGCCCTTTTGTCCGTTTTCATTGATACACATTATACACATGGGATTTTTCGGCCGAGGAAGCAACGTCTAACAAAGACTGACAGGAGTATTCAATCAGTGCTGTGCAGCCTTAACACAGCGCTTTTATACATCTGAACATTTACATTTACTTAGTGCTTAAACAGTTAATCAATCTAAGTCAATGAATCAATTAAGCCACAACAATCCTTAACTATTTGAACAATTATGTAATATTTCAAACAATATTGACAAACATATATAAGTTCCAGATACTGAGTTATTAGAATAAATTTTTATTTGTATGTCTTATACTGTTGGTATGACAAAGCAAGCAATACCATGACATCGACTCAGGGGTTATGGCATTTGTTACCAAAATTACCAGCAGATTACATTTACAGTAAATGTTAGTTGTAGCGAGGTCAGCTCATATTTTCACTACCCTATAAATCATAGCCAAATTAATTCACAATAAAGATATTTTCACAGTATTGATATATTAAAAAAAATATAAATAAAACATTATTTTGATAGTCATATTCTTCTTTAACCAAGTTTTTCGGCAAATTAATTACACTACAAATATGAGTGTTGGGGTGTGGACAGTGCGCCTGAAACCATAACTGTCGAAAAGATTACAAAAATAATAAATACCCTCAGGGATAGTGGAAAGACGATATTATAATATGTCCATTATTATCCTGGTATCAAAATCTCCTTAAATATCACAGTTATGGTCAATACCTGCATATTGCCACAGGTATATTCCAGCTGTACACAGGTGCAGTTATTTGTGATACAATTAAAGTAAATGTAAAGGATTACAGTGATAAAGATACATGTAGGTCACACAAAGTAATTGTGGCGTTTAAAAGCAGCAAAAAGTGAATCCTCAGTCAGAACAACTTAAACTGCTGTTAAAGATGTTGAAGTGTAACATAGCTTGACCCACTTTTGTGTGAAGAGAGAGAGAAGAAACATTCTCAGATGCCGACATTCGGTCCCTTAGGCCAACACATTTTTCATATCTCTCTCGACCACACACTCACACACTCACACACTCACACACTCACACAGACAGCAGAGCTAGTGCACTCACTGAGTGGTGCAGTACTGTTATTTTGGCCCACATTGCCAAAATCCTCCATGCTGGGTTCAGAGCCGCGGACCCCCCCGGCCTTCAGTTAACCCAGACACAAACACAAGTGTGTCCTCTTGTTACAGGTGATTATTTACCACGCTGTCAGGAAGATGGATGTGGGCCAGACGCTGCTCATACTCTACATCACCAGGTTATTATAGCTGTGGGAACCAATGCTGCAATATACTGCTATCAGTGCACAATCCCACAACTCTGTCAGCCGAACGATACCGACTCCCCCTGGAGAAATGTTTAATTATCCGACTAATTACATCAGGATGGCACTGGGAGTGTCAGCACAGACGTTCAATCAGAGAAAACCTGTCCACGATTTATTCACTGACAAATGATGAGCAGAGGGAAGATTCTGTATTTGCATTGCAGAGGGTTTTACTTGAATATTGAAATCTCAGCTCATCGCATTTGAAGGAGTTGAGTGGAGACTAGAAACAGAAGCTCGGGCACACTGTGGTAAAAATAGATTTGAATTATAGGAGGGTTTGAATCAAGCCAAGCATAGAGTTGGTGTCAGACAACAAATGCTCACAAAGTCAGGAAAAAAAGGACAAAAGAAAGCCTCGACCTACCCCAAATAGCCATGAAGATGGCAAAGAACACAGTGCCGCCATTATCAAACAGATGGGTCACCTAGAAACACAAGCACAGGAAGAGCTGCTCTGAAAAAGTGCTTTTGGAAATGGTGGACTAACAGATGAAACAGAAATGTGACTTTGAACATTTTCCAATTTCAACAGCCTCAAATACATCGTGCTGCAGAGGGGCTCTCATGAGACATTTGAAGGAAACATGTTGACATTTAGGGGAAATAAGTTTTCTTGCTGAGTTAGATTTAGACTTGAAGAAGATTGATACCAGTCTCAAATGAGTAAGGTAAATAAGAAGACAGATCCTGCAGCTTAGCTTAGGGTAAATACACTGACAACAGGTTACAAGAGGTAGCTTCCAACAGACATACATGAAAGTAGTGTTGATCTTCTTGGTTAAGAGTTGGTAAATAAAAAATAAATAATTGAGTGTATTTCCAAAAATGTCTAACTGAACCTTTAAAATATAGATTTTGTTTCAAAATCTGAATTAAATACTTAAAAAGAAGATATAATCCCTTTAGAGCTCCAGGCTTTCTTTGATAATGAAATACTCTAGAACGTTTTAAAGTAGAGTTAGCTTATGGGGTGGCGTTTTAGTCCTAAACATGTTTGTAACACGTTTGTAAGGTGCTAGAAGCGGATGACTCTTACACACACAAATGCTGTGAGTACTGACCTTGGCGTACACACAGCTGTCACTCAGCGTCCACGGCTCACAGGTGTCCTCACACATAGGACACATGATGGTGTTGTTGGCCTCACAGATCTCTTTACTGGAGGGACAAGGAACCACAAAATGACAGCAACAATCAGGAATGTTCACGATTTACATATTTTAATAGAGCTTTCGATCTTTAGGTATCTCACTATTCAATATCAATTGTTAATTTCAGGATGTCCGGTCCACTGATAATTCAAAGATTTGTTAAATGTCATATATACAGCTACAGTGTACGTAGTTGTGTAATGAAAAACTTGGGTCACAGGTTTCTCAAACATTGCAATATAAATACATAACAATACAAAACTGTCCCTGGGTCTGGTGGCCTTAGGTTAAATAACCAAAGACAAAAAATAACATGTATTCATGCTGAAATTGCACAAAAAAACACTTTTGAATAAAACTTAAAAGTTGTAATCAAATGTTAGTGTCAGCAAGAATAACAAATGACCCAAAAACAAAAGTGCTGCCTGTTACATAAATAAAATATGTAGGTTTAGGCTTTTTTACTCAAAACATTTCAAAAACGATTTGAACACTAATAACTCTTTATACTAATATTCTTAGTGATACTTCATCCAATCACACAATAATGCCTGACACACTTTAGACTTGGTGTTTAAGATAACTGTCCACCACCAGCAACATCCTGGTTCTTTTGTAAAAAACATTTCCAAAAATCAATTTTTGGAAAGCGAAAATCGATTCAGAATCTTAAAAAGATAAGAACGTGGATTCTTACACAAATTGATTTTTTCCCCAAAAAATACAATCATATATTGTAGGCAGGTTGTGTGTATTGACCTGACTTGGCTGGAGTCCATCGTGAAGAGACCGTAGAGGAAGACAAAAACACCGACCAGGGCGGCGGGGATCAACATGCCGGTGTACCAGCCCAACCACGCAAAGTACAGACCGATTTTCTCACCAAAGTAACGCCTGCGAGAGAGACAGAGAGACAGAGAGACAGAGAGACAGAGAGACAGAGAGACAGAGAGACAGCGAGGTCAGAATTCACCAACAAACTGAGTTAATTAAAGCTGGCGGTGTTTACTTGCAGTGAAGTTGAGTGTGTCGTTAGTGCACTGTGGGCTGACTGTGGTGTTCTAACGGGGCTGCTGGGCTGAAAGTATAATGCTGTGGTGGGAAATGATGAGTAGCTGTGTCTTCTTCCTAAACCACAGCAGTCACGGTGCCCTTGAGCAAGACACGTATTTCACAAATGCTCCAGTAAATCAGCTCAGTATCAGGCAACTCCTAAATCTGTATGCATCACTCTATTCACAATGAGGAAGTCACTCACGTAAGTTAGTTTATATGCACACTAGTTTCAGGGTACTGAACAAAGGTTACAAAGGTGGGAGATAAAGATATTCTATCACAGCATCAATTTATAACTTTATAAAACAATGTTTAATTGAGTAACCATTTAAAGATGCATTAACAAGATTTAACAAGATTAGTGAACACAGCATGACATACAGTATCATCACCCATTTAGGTTGATACGCAGAAGGTGTTTCTTATATGCACACCCAGGAGATATGTTGCCACAATAAAACAGTTTTTAAAAATCTCTCACGCCAAAACAGTTAATCTCTAGTAGTGGTTGACAAATGTTTAAAATGTCAGGAGGAAATGAGCCTGTCCAAAAGGTAAAAAGAATCTGCCTACAATAACAAATCTACATGAAAATGCGTAATTTAATAGTTATATATCCTCCTGACATTTTAAACATTTGTCAACCACTACTAGATTGATATTGTAAAGTTTGTAAAGTGTCTCTACTGTAGGCTAATTTTATTATATGTACAAACAGCACTTTGGCTCGACCAAAAATCGTTTATAAATGTGTTATATAAATAAAACTTGATTTGATTTGATTAGAGATTAACTGTTTTGGTGTGAGAGATTTTTAAAAACTATAATAGTTATATCGTGCTCTCCTTTGTTTCCAGCCTTAATGTAAAGCTAAATTAATCATCTCCTGGATCCAGATCTGTACTTCACACAAAAGAGTGTTATCAATCTTTTCATCTAACTCTTGGCGAGAGTGTGAAGTGAATAAGCGCATATTTCATAATGTCAAACTGTGCTAAAACACAGCAGTGCCAAGGCAGCTTTAAACTTAAGTGAAATCAAACTTCCACAACTTCTCAACTCGTAAATTAGCTCCATGAGTTCAGAAATATCCGACATACTGAAACATTAGGGAGGGAAAAAGCCAGTTCAGAAAGCCGACTGTGATCAGAAACCTCAATATCTTTATCATCAGGGAGATAAACAACTGGGTTACAACATGTTCTATTTAAACATCTCATCGTAGAGAGGATCAAAGACAGAACAAGGCTTATAACCAGGACACTGCAGCATGTGTACGTCTTCAGAAAGAGCTCCTGAAGCTGTGTTGGTTACCTGATGAGATCCAGAGGCTGGTATTTGTACCACATTCCCCAGCGGGCCCAGCGCTCGTACAGAAGATGCCGGTGGTTCTGGGCACCGTGCGTCTTAATTGGATGTCTGCTCTTGTAGCCGCCCTGACGAGACAAAGAGAAGAACATTATTAATTACAGGAGAAACGTTATACTTTGACAATCTGTTCATCTCTACAGCACAAAAAGAAAACCGTTCTCACCTCATGTGGAGGAAATGCAGCCTCATATGTGTTATTTCCCAACAACCGGTTGATACCTAAAGCAGGAGAAAAGCACGTAATGTTAAGAATGCAGATATACCAGGTAGAAACACACATACAAAATTCAAGACCGGTCACAATTATGAGAAGGGTCCAATGGGAGACTCATTTAAAGCAACTCTTCCACAGTAATAACAATTGACTGCATGATGTAACCAGCAAGCTGCATTAGCAAACACTTCAAAATAATCTGCTCTGTTTTTTCTGGACTCTAATTACTTGGTGTAAAATGACTCATCGCAATAAGCAGTGTGAATTGGCTGCAGGTACTGGTGATGAAAGAAATGTTATGTAATGTTTCCCAGGACAATAGTGCACTAATTTCCATTGTTGTCCCTGGGCCCTGACTGAGACTGTAGTAGATAGTGCTAACAGCAGCGGGGAGGAAGCTGATCTTATTTGTCTGAGAGAAAAGTGGTCAACAGTGTTAAATTATTGATGTGAAAGAGGTTCCCGCCTTTCAAGGCCAAACTTTCCGCAGCAAAACATGTTGGCGGCAGACAGAGAGGAAAGTAGATGTGGGAGTGGACGGGCAGTTTAACAGCCGACACCAAAAGACAAAACATCCAGGAGGAAAGGAGGGATCAGCCGTAAGTTGGAGGAAACCAAAAGCTTTTAATCATCCCAAAGCAATACAATAAACAAATAAATAATTCCCCCTTTAGCTTGCATTTGCTCTCTTTCAGTGGTGCCCTGATGGCTCTGCTAGTGACACAATGAACACAAACCCACCAGCAGGAAAACACAGCGATACAAATGAAGACAGCATTACTGTGTCCTTTGTTCCATTTCCTCACATTGGTATTTATTATTCAACGATTATTCTACCCAACACTAAAGTTTCTTTTGAATAAAGCAATACAATGAACCACATTTCTAGAATATGTAGAGTCTTCTCAGTGAATGACATTTCCTAATAAGGTCATTATGATGATACTTGTACTTTATTATATCCATATAAATGAGCCTAGGGAACCCCCCGACACTAATGTGACACCAGTGGAAATATTGTTCAGTACATGAAGAGCAAGAAGAGAAAGCCTTACCCATCTTTGATTTTCCGTCCTCATACTTGGTGCGCTGCAGCACGTGATGAATTATTCTGCTTCTGGTGGAATTGGAGAAGAAGGCCTCTCTACTGTTGATAGTGAAGCTGGAAAGTAACAGCACACTCCTTCAGTTATTCATCATGTAACAATATATCAATATCATCCAATCACAGCCTCTAATGAGTGCGGAGCCAGACAATGAAGCAAAGCTCATTAAAACTCAATTTGTGGGGAAAACTTTGTTTCATTTTTTTTAAAGAAAAGATATGCATCACTGGGAAATGATTAGATGGATTCATCAAAGTGAAAATGAAAGGAACAGGAAGGAATTGAGGTGAAATCCTATCGTGTCATGCACATCTGCAGCTGCATTTCAATATATTATTTATGATCTGCTTGTCTTTAGAGTTCTGACTGAAAGATATACAATATACAAGACTGATGGTTTATACATTTCACATTCAGAGCTCAGGAGATGAATGGATGATATGGGTGAGAGGGGAACTAGGGTTATATCAGCTTAGACTACAGACCCAGCCATTATGTGACACCCTGATCATGTGCGTGAGTTTCTGAATGACTTGTGAACATGTCCTCCTTACTGATGCATGCGGGCTCTGCTGAAGGGAGCGGTGTAGCAGTCAGTGTCCTCCAGGTCAGGCAACGCCTCTTTGTCCAGCTTCATGGGATTTCTGGGCAGCCAGCTTTTTATCTGTCGGCATCTCAGATGAAACCTGCTGCACAGACGCACGAGAGGGAAAACAGGATTAAGGGCACAGATTAACATGAAGATTGAATTCTTTCATGTGGAACAGGGGCTCCCAACCTTGTTCTCTGACAACCCTGACAAGCTCACACCGCCTCACACCCACTGAAAACAAGTTTACACACACACACGCACACACGCACTCACAGCAGGCATCACTATGCAGATGTTATTTTTTATTTTCATATTGCTCATAAATCGTGAGCCTCTGATCCAGGGGAACAGCTTGCTAAATCCAACTCAAAGGATTATTTATTTATCATGAGGCATTTCTTAAATGTGATTACAGTCATGATTTAAGAGCAGAAAATGTAAAGGCATGCATGGACTTCCTAAAATGTAGAGCTGTGTGTTAGCGATTATCTGGTGACACAATATGGTTCAAGAGGGATTATGAGTCAATATATTGCAATACTGTAAGCAATAAACATTTTAATATACTGTTAAAATATTATTAAAGTGAATCTTCATATTATAATACATCTACGTACACATATGATTACAAAGAGTTCACTTTTTGACTTAACTGATTGTACTTGCATCCATCACAGTTCCTGGCACTACTTTTCAAGCACTATGCCATGATTAATTGCATGTAAACAATTAATAAAAAATCAATACTGCTCAATATAGTATCACAAACCCAATATATTCTTGCACACCCACTAAATTAAATCTAATTAGAATGTTATTGTCACGGTCTGTCTCTGTCTACCCTCTCCAGCCACATTTCTAATTCCCCAGGCCCCTTCATAATCAACACATACAAAGCAGAGTAAGAGTCTGCAGCCATGTGCAGCTCTTTAAGGCTTCACACAGTGGCACTTTGAGCTGAATGCTAACATTTCAACCTTATTATGGTGCTGTGTGAAAAGTCAGGGGATCATAAAAGTTAGAAGGATAAATCTCTGAGGGCACCTCACATCGCTGCACTAAATGTCACGGTGATCTATCCAGTAATTGGGATGTATTACAGTCTGGACCAAAGAGGTGATCCTACCGTCAGACAAACATGAACCTCCGAGAGCTAACATGAGTTGGCTGAGTATATAGAATATTACAGACTTGCTGGAGAAGTCTCTTGTCTTGTCAGGCTTTGACCTGATATGGATCAAATTAATACAAATGTGAACTTCGGGTGAAAAAACACCAAAGCCAGAGAGCGTTTTATAAATGTTCTTGTGAAAAAGACAAAGTAATGATATCCACCCAATGAGCTGTGACCGCCTGCACAGAGCCCATTTGTTCAGCTTCACAGGGACGCGAGCTAGAGACAGATCATTAGGAAACACATAACGCATATTTACTACTTGGGTAAATAAGCTTTGGGAGCTCCGCAGGAGCTGTGAAGAAATCATAACGGTACTCATTGTTCACAGTGACGTAAGATGCTTCTCACACAAGGTTTGAAAGTGCTTTGTTCTCAGTTGGACAAGTGGGCGAGAGATTCCTGCGATGTCTGTCTGTGTGTGTAGGTGTGTGTGTCCTGCAAGCACGACCATTTAAACAACATATAATACTGTATCTAAAAGGTGAAAAAACAATGTTATCACTTTCAAATCAGCCATATTATCAACTCAATAATGTGTTTGTGAGGTTATTGAAACAGTAAGCTTATAAAGTATCATAAAACACTAAAGCAGCCATGTTTATTGCAGTTACTTTGTCCTGTGGCAGCTATCTTGTTTATTATCATCAATAATCTCAGATCAAAACCGAGCATTAAGGTGGAAGCAGCGTGAGTCACACCATGTTTGCAGTTTAATGACTAGCCGTCCTTCATGACCGGTAATATCGCACTTCACTAACCGTTGCCTGTTCAAAGCTTTACAAGGGCTCTTTCAAAGGTTACACATACAAGTCTACCATCATTGGCGCGGTTCAAACATCCTTTCCATTTTCTTTCATCACCTGATGGACAATGCTGAGATCAAAAAGGAACAGATATAAAATGAGAAGCCTCTGAAAATGTTGTTTAATACGGATGTCACATTAAAGTATGTGATAAGAAATGTTTCCTGTTCAAGTAGTGAGAAGGGCATGAGCAAAACTATTAAAATGTCTAGATAATATTTAAATACTGCTCTACATGTAACAGTCATTTTTTTTAGGTTCTGCATTACTCATTGTAATTGAGAAACAGGTTTTAAAGGGCCCTATGATGCTCATTTTTTCGAATTCATAATTGTGTTGATTAAGGATGTAAAACCCCCAAAAGCATAATAATAATACTCTTTCAGGGCCTTAGATGGTTTGTAGAGTTTGCAGAAATAAAATGTACATAGAGTTGAAGGTGTTTTAAAAAGTCATTCTTGTTTTCGCATTCAAGCAACATTGAGAGATGGAAATGTGTAATCCTTTCAGAGCATCTTGAACATTACATCAAAGTATGATAGCGTCCCTCTAAAAACATTATGCTAATCATTCTGTGCAGCTCCATCTTTTTGATTAATAGATTACACATATTTTATAGAAGAGCGGCATCAGTGTTAAAGTATTGCACTCTTCCAAACAGGATGCTGTGCTTTTTTAAAGGTTATAAAGCTTAATTAATCACATTAATCTAAACAAACAAAGGTCAACTGCACTTAACCTTGATTTTTAAACACTATTTAAACCATTTTAGTTGCTGGTCCTTATCAGTGCTGCACACAGTGTGTGACTTTCCAATTAAAACTAACTAATCCCTGATGCATACTGTATATTTACTCAGTTTATGTAAAGGTTGATTAACCCTGGATTCATTAAAATGTAGTCAATGGTTGGGTTGAAAAGGACAATAAACGTTTCACTCAAACTTTCACAGTTTAAGTTTCTCAGTGAGCTGAATGATAACTATAGTATTAAAACATTTAAACAGCATCCACAGCTCACATTACGGCTGACGCGTGGCAGCTGTGCCTCTCACGAATTGCATTAGAGGCAGTGAAGCATCCAGCTTGCTGCCCCCAGAGAGCGACACAGAAAAATAGTCCTATTCTTAAATCTACTTACCTGCCCAAGGTTTTGCTCTTCCAATCCGTGAAGTAACTTTTTTTCCTTGGAGAAAGAAGAAGAAGAAGTTAGACAGGATGAATTAGGTTACCAGCCACTCAGAGAAAAACTGACCTTTCCATAAATTAACTTGTAATCGTTTTTTCTTTCTACAGTTACCTGAAAGGCATTCGGATGTTCATCTGCTCTGCATATTTGCAGAGTGTATCCCAAGGAGCTTGGACTTTCACAAACATGATATCGTTGTTGGTCAAGGAGGGCTTTAGGATTAAAATGAAACACAGGACTTTGAGAACTGAGTTGATGAATCAAGGACATACAAGTCTTCTAAAACCAAACATGTTTTACCTCCTTCTCCAGCATTAGACCCTCAGCCCGTAGATTCTTCTCAAAGGTGCACCTCTTTTCCACCTGGGGACTGGACTTCTTGTAAACCAGGATGTAGTCGACACGCTTTTTCCCATCTCGGAAAAACAGCCCAGAGGAACCAGCTGATTTCTTTCCCTGTGGTGAGAAGACTTTTTAGGACGATGCAGCGAAGTAACAAGACGGCTCAGTAGGTCAGTGACAAAATAACTACAGTGTCATTTGTGGTAATAATGGTGGATAACTGAGAGCCTGGTACCTGAACTGAGTCATTGCGGGCCTGTAGTTTAACTCGGGTTGAAGGCTTCTTCAGTGGAATTGACTCGTCTGCTTTTGTTTCACATGTCGTCACCTCCGACTCCTCCACGTACTGATCGTTCCCTTCCTCTGCTGCAAACAGACACAGCGTGATGAAGGAGACAGTTATTGAACAGGTAAGGCACCACACAAAGTATCCTATCAGCAATTATTCTTTTGTTGTTCAATCAATATGTTCCTCAATCCAGCTCCCACTTTGCAATCAGCTCTGAGCTAAATCCAAGTTATTTAATCGTGGTCGCCAGCTATAAAGGCGACACCTTGAAGCTATTTAGAAGATCCATGAAGATGTTGAAAGAGGGCCAATTGTGCTTCCTTCCTTGCTAAATCTGTATGCATCCCACTGAAGTGCACAGACAAAATAAAGTTGTGTTTAACCCACACTGTGAGGCAAGACAAACAAATCAGATTGTACAAAGAAATCTTTTCCTGAAGCTCAAAGTGTTTTGAACCGTTTCAGAGAGCCTTCCTTTGCCACAAAAAGTCAGCCTTAATGACGAGTGATAACTTTTTACTCATTTTATTTTGCAACTGAGCATACGGTGTGGATGCTTTTCTATTTTTAATGGTATGTGATATGCATTCCTCTCATGTGGAAGTTGATTGAGGCAATGACTAAATCTCATACATACACTCTAATTGCGTGACATGGACATGCTCCTATAGCTATAGGGAGACGCATCATTTCACAGCACAGCTTGGCTCACATCTCCAGTGAAATGTGTCATGTGTGTACTTCAGCACCAGATCTGCTGAGTGAGACTGCAGTCAGAACATCTTTATACTGCTTTGCTGAGATATGGTGCAAGACATCTACATTATTCTAACATGTGGAACTACGACGAAAAAAGCTGCATTGGTTCATTTGCTTTGTTTTTAGCACTTCATTTCACTGAAAGTACATTAGAGTCCCTAGACAATAATGTGTTTTTAAATGTGTAAGAATATTATTGGGACCAAAATAACTCAGTTGTAATGCAGAACCACTAGCTGTGCTCTTTTTCCCCTTTTTCTATTTTTATTATCAACAAACACAAACTCTCTTATCTTCTGTCTATTTTAAGACCACAACTGAGCCCTGCTATTTTTAGATTCACTGAATCTCTGAGGAATAGTTTCCATTGATTTCATTATAAGAAAGTAAAAAAGAAAAATGCATCTTCAACCCACCACAAATCTGAACCATCAACTTAAAACAATTTCATCCAGTCACAAATACACGCAATATCAAAGTGCATAGGTTTAGTTTAAAGGTATCCAAAAGCTTTCTGAATTCACACTGCTGGATTGTGCTGAGTCATGTGATGGGAGTCTATTGAAGCGTTTCAGTTTAAGGTGCTGCGTTACATAATTGATAACATAAGTGCAGGCAACAGTGAAATGAATACAACAGTACTGAAGCACCAGTCAGTCAATGCTTGAATTAAAGATGGAGCTTCATTCTAGATCAAATGCATGTTAAAGGGCATTGAATATATCATATTTGGTGATTTTAGTGTTGTGTTAAATCCTTGTTTCTCTCTGAAATTTCATGTTTGATGTTGAGCTGTGATGCAAGACAACTATAAGATCTGACATTAAAGTATTTGTATCACCATCAGACACATCTGTCACATAACACAGTGAGGAAACGGGTTGGTCTTTACTCTCTCCTTTTGTCTGCACCCTCCTCAGGCCAAGACAAAAGAGACCTGTTCCTCAGACGTCTATTTTCAGCACAACAACTGAGAGCCACTTCTTCCAAAAATAGCAGCACCTCACCTTGTGCTGCCTCATTTGCATGAACCTGCGTCTCACGTCCCACTTTAGCACCCTGCACGCAGCAGTGAAATACCAAAGGGTCAACTAAAGGACGTCTCAAGAAGAATCCACATGATGAGTTGCTGCATGGGTTAGAGCCATCCCTGTCATTGGCCTCTGAATATTCTTGGAGATATTATTCAAACTGAATAATTGTCTCTCTCCAATAGGCATTTGTATTTTTACCAGTTCAGACTGTGATGTATTGTTTCCTCGGAACAGTTTTCCCACCACACTATCTCACTGCCTCTGAACACACATAAGACACATGTGATTATGTTTGCTAAATCGTATCACAATCTGCTCAATAAATATTATGCACACGCCTTAAATATCACCAACATTATGAAAATCTGTGTTGCAACCAACTCTGTTTCTGTTGAGCACAGCATTCAAAACAGTCAGGGCAGAGAAGAGAGAGAATACACATTCAACACGGACACAATGTCAGTAGCAATACATACAGATACACATAAATAACATGATGCAGATGTGTTGCAAAAGGCTTCCTTGATGGTATTTTAATTTTTTTAAATAGGAAAACTACTTTAACGTATCATAAAAAAGAGCTTCAACTTAGGATAGACTGCATACAAAGCTGGTTTATATGAAGTTCAATATTTGCCAGCTAAAGGATGCCATGCAGATCCAACAATGGGTAAAACCTGCCAGTGCATCTGTAAAAAATAAGTTTAAAGGGAGCGGGCCCTATTATGCTTTTGGGGGGTTTTCCCTATCCTGTAGTGTGTTATATAGGTTTGTGTGCTTGTAAATGGTCTGCAAAGGCTAACATCCCAAAGTTCCTTAACGAGGAAGTTTCTCTCTCGCACTCCCCCTACGCCTACTTTGTTTAGATCCTCTTTTGCACTCTCCAAGAACTTGCAGTTTCAGGCTCTGCACTTTCCCTCATCACCTCATACCTCAAAGACCGCACCTACAGGGTTACTTGGAGAGGGTCGGAGTCCGACCCTTGTCAATTAACTACAGGGGTCCCTCAGGGCTCTGTTCTTGGTCCCCTCCTCTTATAGATAGATAGATAGATTCAACTTATTGTCATTACACAGTACAGGTACCATGTAACAAAACGGTTTCTCTGCATTTGACCCATCCTAGTGTTAGGAGCAGTGGGCTGCCATTATGTACGGCGCCCGGGGAGCAGTGTAGGGAACGGTGCCTTGCTCAGGGATACCTCGGTAGCACTTAGTCTTTCCGGGACTTGAACTGGTGACCTTCCCGTTGCCAAGCCAAGTCCCTATGGACTTCGCCACCACCGCCCATCTCCTTGTACACAAAATCGCTCGGATCAGTCATTAGCCCGCATGGTTTTTCATACCACTGCTACGCTGACGACACCCAATTAATTCTGTCCTTTCCCCGCTCAGAGACCCAGGTCGTCGCACGCATCTCTGCTTGTCTAGCTGACATCTCTCAGTGGATGTCTGCTCACCACCTCAAGCTCAACCTTGACAAGACTGAACTATTTTTCCTTCCGGGAAAAGATTGTCCCACTCTTGACCTAACAATCAACATCTATTGTTTCCCCGACTCAGACTGCAAGGAATCTGGGTGTGACCCTAGATAACAAACTGTCCTTCACTGCAAACATAGCTGCTACAACCCGCTGCTGCAGATACATGCTTTACAACATCAGGAGGATACGTCCCCAGCTGACCCAGAAAGCGACGCAGGTTCTAGTCCAGACTCTTGTCATCTCACGCCTAGACTACTGCAACTCCCTCCTGGCTGGTCTACCTGCATGTGCCATCCGACCTCTGCAGCTCAGCGGCTCGTCTGGTCTTCAACCTTCCTAAATTCTCCCACACCACTCTGCTCCTCCGCTCGCTTCACTGGCTTCCGGTAACTGCTAGAATCCACTTCAAGACAATGGTAATTGTGTACCATGCTGCGAATGGATCTGGCCCTTCCTACATCCAGGACATGGTTAAACCGTACACCCCAGCACGTGCACTCCGCTCTGCATCAGCCAAACAGCTCGCTGCACCCTCACTGCGAGGGGGACCCAAGTTCCCATCAGCAAAAACACGTGGGTTTGCTATCCTGGCTCCAAAATGGTGGAATGAGCTCCCCATTGACATCAGGACAGCAGATAGCTTACACACCTTCCGGCGGAGACTGAAAACTCATCTCTTTCAACTCCACTTCGAGCGATAGAACTATTAACAAAGCACTTATATACTAACAAAGGGCTGGCTTATCTAAAGCCAGTTGAGTAGCACTTGAAATGTTTTTGCTCTATGAAACCTGATGTACTTATATGATTCTGTTTTCTTCAAGTTTGTATCTTGATGGTCGAACGCACTTAGAAATCGGGAGCATTTCAAAACCACCGCGGGGGGGGTGCTAGTGGATCATCGCCGGAGCTGTACTAGATTAACATTAACATTAACATGCTTATTGTAGTGGTAAGTGCACTGCCTTGCACATGTGTGGGCTGGACCTGGAAAGGAGTGAGCAGAGGGTCTTGTTGTCGATTCTTGTTCAGTTTTCTGTGACAATCTTCCTCACCCTCTCAGACTTTCAGTTGCGCGCGCTGCTAAAGAGATGTGCTACCATGAAAACCAAACAATGGTGTAGCTGTATTAAAGTCCGAGTGGAAACAGTTCTGAGTAAATCTGATTTTGTCAGAAATCGGGAGAAATGCGGGAGAAATATGACCCCGGGAGGAAACCGGGAGAGGGCAATGAAATCGGGAGTCTCCCGCGAAAATCGGGAGGGTTGGCAAGTATGCAACATAGTGACATCACTATGTAACACTACAGTATAGGCTAGCGCTCCAACACATTGTACGTGATAGGCTAAGGGTCGGGACATCTCTAAGTGGTTGACCAATCACAACAGAGCCGGCCAGCTAACCAATCAGAGCAGACTCTGGTGTCAGACAGAGGGTGAAAAGAGGTGCAGCAGCACAGGCAGTCTGAGGAAAATAAAGAGCTTTTTGAAAAATCCTTACATTCATGAAGCAAACATATTTTTCTTTAAATCAACTTAGAATAAAATAAGTTAAATAAATAGTGTTATAAAAGGTAAATGTTGTTTTTTTCAGTTGGAGGAAGTAACGATTCCCTTTTGGCTAGTATTGATTATAATATGTAATTTACTAGCAAGTTTAAAATATATTTCTTTAAATCTTTTTTACTTTAACTTGCCACTAAAGCCTCCAAAGTAAACATTACAATCCACACATGACATGATGCAAACTGACGTCTCCTCTCTCATGACTTCAGGAAGACATCCGTCCTCCAGCAGACTGACCTGTGTGCGGCGGCAGGAGGCTGCAGGAGGTGCTGACGCTCTGACTCAGACCCTCGGCCTCTGGTTTGGGCTCCGAGCTGAGAGGCACAGACAGGAAGTGGTTGAGGTTGAGTGGATGCGTCTGACTCTGGGCCAGACAGGGCAGGCTGCGGCGGGACGGCTTCGGGCTCTTCTCCTTCAGGATCTCGCTGATGCTGGTGTGCATGCCTGAGGATGAGAGGCACAGAGAGAGAGGGGGAGAATATTATTATCACATTTCATTGGCTGACACTTTTAATAATGCAACTAACAATAAGTGCAATAAACCATGAAGTTATAAACTCAGCAAGACAAATTACAAGTACATTAGTTTCAAATAAGCCATCCATTTAAACTGCTGGTGCATTAGCTTGAAATAAGGAAAAACATTTTAAGTTCTAAATATATTTGTGTTTTAATAGGTTTTAAAGGCCAAACATTTGGGTTTTCAGTCTGCAAATAAAGATTCGTTCTGGTATCAATGGGGAGCTCATAATAGCAAAAAGCCTTGTTTTTGTTGATGAGTATCTGAGTCTAATATATTTTTTTCATATTAAACATCATGTTGTTTCATAAATGTATGCTCACACTGATGAACTTAAACTATATTTGAGTCACTAAGGCATTAAGTGAAGGATTGGGCCCTGCTCTTTAGTGAAGCTCTGCTGGGACATACCATTAAATCATACTGTTGTCAACAATATACAAATGTATTACATAGGGAGGAGGTCTGGGTTGGGCCCTGAATTAAGGCAGCAAAAGGATTGCTCTCAAGGTGACAGGAACTCCAGTCCACAAGTTCCTTTTAAGTAATACTCAGCCTGTGAAAACATGTTTTTCAATGCTGCTTTGTAGCTCTGAAGGGAGCTCTAAAAAGTCTGTGAAAAATAACCCTAATGATGTCTTCAGGTTTATCTCTGACAGATAATTTATAACAGATCTCCAAACAGACTGGGGGCCGTTGGGTTTGAAAGATGTGGGCAATCATCAGGCAAGGAGGGTTTCACTAAAGACCCTGCTGGATTGTATTATGGCAAATGTAGGAGCCAGTGATTTTAGAGTTGGCCCAAGGATTGAAGGTAGGTTTTCTCAGTCTCTGCTGCATTAATGTTGTCGATTCCCCGAAGCCCAAGGCAGGTTAGCTGTTTCTCCTTTCAAATCTCATTTTCAGAAGCGCTTTCTCTTGAACTGGTTATTATTCAGTTTTTATTTCTCTTGTTTTTGCTATATTTAATACAGTAGTTCATACCTCCCTTATCATTATAACAGGATCAGTTATATTTGTATATAAAAGTTATCTGTTCATTGCCTTTGTTTTTGTTATGTATTTGTAACTTGTTATTGGAAATGCAAATAAATAAATAAAATAATTATAATTAAAATGTGGCTCTTGTGAGTCAGCCAGCTGTATAAAGGTCAAACACTAAATTACTGGAGAGCCCTTAAAGTGAATTAGCTGTAATAACAATAAGCTAAGAGGAGTGCAACTTCAGCACTTCAATTCAACACGCATCATGCATCATGAATATTTATGCATTTATACAGAAGCCAAATCATATTTTAAGGTATTCAGTAACTCATACTTAGGCGAAAGTATTTAGGATTAAGTTAAAATAACAACTCTAAAACTCCCCATTAGTATTTTTTCCTTGACTCATTTACATGTATAAAGATAGGTCGAGTGTATTAGAAACAATTGTTGTTATAGTCATCAACATGTTGTTTATTTCTCCACAGCAATCAATAAATCAAATGCTTTTAAAAAAAAGAAAGAAAAAAGTCTGTACGACCGACCCGCCTGTCTACCTGCGCACACTGTTCATGCACGCATTGCACATCGCAGCAGCTAGCATGACAGCTACAGTAAGTACTACTCACAAAAGCCATGTTTGTTGTTTAATTTCAAAATGATAATTTGGGGGTTGCGGCTTTGCAGGAAGGACCGGAGGAACAGGCAGTCAGGGTTGCCAACATGGGGACTGTCTCACTGGATCTTCTGGCTTTTGAAGCTAGTGCTGCAAGCTACTTCATAGCAAAAGAGTTGGCATCACTGTGCTGGGCTTTATGGTTGATATTTGTAGCCTACTCTTCCTGGTTTCTCCAATGTTACCTACTCAAGCTTTTAGTTTGATTTGTCAAAGCTGCTAACGTAGGAGCATGTTAACAACCAATATTACTTTTATAGTTTAATTTAGCATTTTCTCTTGTTGTTCAGCTATTTTGCATCTTACCATTTCCCATTATATCTAATCTTTCATTCCAAACCATAAAACTAACGAAATAAGAAAAGAAGAAGACCATTCTCTATAGATCTAGTACCTGAAATGAGCGAATGGAAAAAGGGGAGTAAAGGAGAAATCACTTCAACTTGTCCATCCATTTATGGGCTAGTGATAATGTATGTCCTTCATAGAAGAGTGTGTTAAAACCATCAGCCCTCCTCCTCATCATCTCACAGCTCAATACCTCGAGACGAGCAGCGTGATGGTGCACCGTCAAACGTAAGCTTGCTAGTGCTTCAGCCAATTTCGATAGAAAGATGCACGTAATGACAACATTCAAGTGTGCATCTTTCTCATTAGCATGTCATTGTTCTTTTAATACCAGCAGAGGTCAGTCATTATCAAGGTTATTTCAGCGGTACAGAGCAATATGGTGAAGGCTGAATGAATAACTAGACGATACTGCAGTGGTGAATGGTAAAGAAGAACTCTCAGGTTAATAACGATAATGGATGTCCAGCAACTGGAGCAGGTTATTGTTCCCGACCTTCACACCAGGCAGCAGCTCCTGACATGTATCCATGGAAAGAAGGCACTCTCTTTCAAATGAGATCTTGACTCACTTTCACCTCCAGTGAGGGATTCTCAGTGACCTTCCTCTCGACGTTCAGCTACATTGATAATTCACTGCCTGCATCCTGAGGGTTCCCGCTGCAATCTGCGTAATAACTCACGCTCACGACATAAATCCCAATGGAATCCCCAGAGCTGCAGGGTGAGAATCGAGCCAGTTAAAGATGTGAGTTTGAGGGCCTTTGGGAAACACTCTGCAGCCCCACATATATTACATTAATACAAGTTCTGAGCTCCTGCTTAAAAGCAATACAATACATTATTGAAAATGTGAAACTGTATAAATCTTAATGTGCGTTAAGACTCAAAAGTCTGGAACAAAAGTTTGAAATAAAGGCCTTTTCAATTAAACAGTAGCATTACCCAGCACAAAATACCACAGGAATAAACTTTAAATGGATCAATTAGTCCAAGTCAGAAAGTTAATCTATCTTCAGGGTAACAACAAAGCCTGTTTTCCCAGTGCTTTAATTATCTCGACACACGTTTACACAAGCGTTCAGTGCCCCCCGTTGCTTTTTCATATTTTAATACATTTGACTAAATCCAATTTCTCAAATCAATACTGAGCTGCAGGTTGCAGGTCTCATTAAAGAGCCATATTGGGCCGATTACATCTGCTGTTAAATCGCAGAAGCCAGAGATTTTATGATTCAATGAACAAGAAGGTTTGCATTTCTCGGCAGAAAACTCAAGAGCAACAATTTCTAAGAACCTCACAGATAATCGAGCCATTACATTTCACCTTTAGATCCAAAAACAATTACTCCCCTCCAACACTTACTGCTTTATTTCCTATAGACACACAACACAACAAGATGGGAATGCATCAATAAATCCATTTCCAAGGCACCTGTACTGCCTTGCAAAAACAAATATGGTCAGATTTAACACACATACACTGCAGGAACGATATCCCATTTTACATCAGAGCAATAACTTCTGCTGCACATTTCAAACGGCATAGAAAAACAAACCTGCAACCACTGATTCAGATCGCTATATCTGTTTCTATTTTATACTGCAATGCAAGTCTTTTATGTGCTGCAGAAACGGAAACGGCTGTAATAATAATAAAACAACAACAATACTAATAATAATAATATTTATACCAAGAATACTACTACCACTATAATAATAATAACAACAACAACAACTATAATAACTATTATAATAATAAAACAACAACAACAACAATAATAATAATAATAATAATAATACAAACATATATTAAATAAACAAAAAAAAGAAATGCTTAATGACTGTCTGGTAAAACAGTTTGATTGGTAATAATAATAATAATAATAATATTTAATAAAAAATGAAATACATAATGACTGTCTGGTAAATCAGTTTGAGTTAAGAGCATCCAGTCATCAGGCTATGGAAACCTAAAGTGCCATCATTTCAGTGTCTCTCTGGCTTTGACTGAAGAGTGGATGCTTTCCTATTTAATATACCTGCCCACTTTCTCTCCATTATTCTGATCAATACATAATGGCTGCTTGTGTATTTTCAAAAAGGTGTATTTACTGGACTAACTGGTCTGGATTATCCCAACGGACGTCGTCAGGGTTCAACATCTCACAAATTGGACGGAGCTGGTGTTGTGTGAAATTGCTTACATGGACATTTCAGGGTGGATGGAAAAATAAATTCACAGGTTAAATCACTCAGCCTTGTGATATAATAATGGTTATCTGAGACTGATTGCCCTGCTGCAAAGCTTTAGCTCTGATGCAGACTGAACTCTGTCCCACAGCAAGGTCTGAAGACAATATATAAAAGGGTCCATCTAATGTGAAATCCTGTGTTTAATCTCGCTGTGCACTAGCTAAAACTGGTTTATCAGGAGAAAGTTAATCCTGTGTGCGCAGTGCGCACGGACTGCATATGTGTGTGTGTGTGTGTGTGTGTGTGTGTGTGTGTGTGTGTGTGTGTGTGTGTGTGTGTGTGTGTGTGTGTGTGTGTGTGTGCCAGTTGGTGCGTGGGTCTGAGTCCAGCACAGGGAGGAAGGACGGAGGAGATGAATAAAATAATAAATAGAGGAAACAGATCAAAAGGCCCAGGGAGTGGAAGCCCGCTGTGAGATGCTGAAAAGAAAAACATCAGCAGGACACAGGACAATCTGTGTGTGTGTGTGCTCTCAAACACACACACACACACACACACACACACACATTCGGGCTCATATGGTGGAGCTGGACGGGATTCAAGCAAGGTCGTGATCTGGGATTTAGATTTCTCCTGTGCAGCTTGTCCATGACGGTCTTGTAATGTGGATTAAAATGATTTTTGTCTTTGGTCTATGAACGTGTGTGTGTGTGTGTGTGT